GTCACTTCCAATAAGCCAAAAGTCATTTTATAAAATAAGTAGGATCGTGCGGTTCACACTCCTCCCCTGTCTTTTGAACGGAAGTAGAGGTTTGTCACTTGTTTCCAGTTTAGGATTTTCCTTCTAAAGTCTACTTTAATTCTATACTTCTAACATCTCCCCCTAAAACCTTTATCTACTAAACATTTTTTATTCAATAGGAGTAAGTAGGTTCACCTATCTTCCGGTTGACACTATTCTCCGCTCTTTTGAACAGGAGTAAAGGTTTATGCTTTGTTTCCTATTTAGGGTTAGGTTTCCGGTTCCTTCTAAATTCTTTTTCACTTTTGGTAGCATTATCACCTTGCTTGAGTGGTGCCTCTTACTTTGTAACCATCTACCTCAAGTGGCTCTTAGGCTTTGGCAAAATAAAATAACAGCTATAAATTGTAAAATTAGTTTGAACGTCAACTTTGCTCCACTATCCTCACAACAACGAATCATCTCTTATCACACATGCAAGAGAAAACCATTTTGTTTCTTGATAACTGTAAATGATGTCTCCAATAATTTTTTCAACAACATCATTTTTCTGTCTTATATCCAACAAACTTGCACGATTACAAATGTTGATACAATTCTGCCGTACAAAACAGCAAAACAGTGTTTATGTACATAGATTCATTTTCTAAAGGTATCAACTGAATATTACAACTGTTATGTAATAATACGTATATACGTTTAATTTTTTAATATATCGTTAAAAAAATCTATTGACTTTCTTCGTATTCTAAAGAAGTAAGTCAGTCAATTGTCGCTTTCTACCATTTTTACTTGCTATTAATATGAAAGCTAACAGAACAACGCCAAAATATTTTTCATTCACTATCGACTTATGACGGGTATCGCAAAGCCGTGTCACCCCTGATTAAATCAAATCGTATTCTGTACGTTTTACATATTTACAAATGGTAAACTTCAAACTATGAAGTTATAATTGATTCTACTTCGTTTTATATTCTGTTGTTTTATTGATTAGAAACGATGTAATGTGTAGTACGTGTTTATATCAATATCTAAAACATTAAGTCATGACTGAGTCTTCAAAATATAGGAAATCGTCGATATGGACTCGTGTTTTGTTTTTGTCTGTGAAAAACGTAAAAATATAATTGATTTATTTTTCATGACATTTTCCTTTCGATAAGCCGAATGCTTTTCAAACTATTCCCTAAGTACCGAGTGAAATTGAAACAGTTTTCTTTTCATTTTCTATTTGCTTATTTCTATTATTTAATCAAGCACAAAATAGAAAGACTCTCGTTCACTTTGAGAGACTTTTTTACATTAGTCAGTATTACAGAAATTTTAACTACTCGTCGATAAAAAAAAGAATGCGTAATGCTTTACATCACAACATTCCTGCAAGCAAGCCACCAGTCTGCCACTGGGTGGCATGCCACTAGAGGAAAACTTACCAGGAACGAGCACCTCCTGATCAGTAACCTGACATCTTTCAGTTTAATCCGCAATTTCAATTCCGGTTCGAAATAATTGTTGGCTATCATGTCACCAGTCTGTTCAGCTTAAATCTGTTAAGCAACATTTACATGTTAAACAAAAAGGTTTAGCTATAAACGAAGATATTAAAAAAATGTATATAATCTAAAAAGATGGTGACAAAAAGAAACAAAGAAACGGTTGATGACATTGGATTCGGATTGGAATGAGGAATGAAAATACATTTAAGACAAAAAAATCTCTATGTCTCTCAATTTATTATGTGGAATTTTATCTACTCGTTGATTAAAAAAAAGCGTAATGCTTTACATCTATTCCGAGGAATTAGGACCTCCATAAGCATTTGTGAACCACCGAATCAAATAAAACTGATTCAAAAGTAAGACAGAACAATAAAAGAAACAAATGAAATTTGTTCTGCTGAAGCTGTTTTCAATATTGCTAATCAAACGCGAATGTGTTTTTTTATGACTGGGTTGTATAACCTGAGGTTAAACGAAAAACAAAAAAATATTTCATTTTACTTGTTGTATAGATTTGCAAGTAACGATTATCGAACACCAGAGAAAATTGAACACCAGGTCATTGCTTTCACATCATCCACTCGCAAATGCATTAATTCGTCTCTTCTCCGCTAGCTACTGCTAACAGTGTGACACACTGGACTCTCTCTAGGTCAACCAATTTAGGAGAAGGTCAGTCAGTTATATGCTATGCGTGATACACAATCATGTATCTTTCGGTACATGACAGACGAGGCAGATTTTTTTCCCGCAGTAGTTTGCCATTACTTTCTGTGGTAGACCAGATGTCATTTAAGGCTATAGAACCCGGTCTGTCCTGCTATTTATCGATAGCTGGAGATAGAAGAAGATGATTCATACTTTTCCCAAGGGTATTATTAGCATGCAATTGAATGAAATGGATTCAACTGGAATTCGAACTCGGCTCTCCGATGTCCCAAGCTGAGCCGCTATCCATTGCGCCACCGTGCCTCCTCATACATATCTACCATTCGTCCATGATTAGAGTATTGCTGCCGCATATGGCCCGGCGTCACTGATATTTACCTTGAGCTTCTCAATAAAATTCAAAGAAGAATATGCAATATTATTGGCCTTGATCTAGCAACTCGGATTCAATCACTTTCCCAGCGCCGCAACGTTTCCTCTCTATGTATTTTCTATAAATACTTTCATTGTACGTCTTCGGATAATCTCTTCGCTATGGTATCTAGACTTTATGAATTTAAGCGCAGTATTAGACTGGTGTCAAGATTTCATCAACTTACAATTGATCTAGCTAGATGTAGCCTTTTGTTCTATGCAAACAGTTTCTTTTCTCGCTTGTGGAACTCTCTTCTGGCTCCATGCATTCCAGCCATCTGCAAAAATTTAAATGCAATGTCAATTGCTATCTACTGTCCTTCTGTTACTCTTTTTCAGCTCATTATTAATGTTCCTGTTCCTAATTATTAATACTTCTGTTCCTAATAGTGTCTTTACTGCTTTGCATCATCCACTCGCAAATGCATTAATTCGTCTCTTCTCCGCAAATGCATTAATTCGTCTCTTAATACCTCGGTGGCTGGACCAATTATAACACATTTAATATAGAAAATTATGAAGTTTAACATCGTCTGTGCAAGGGAATTTTTGTAAAATCCTACAAATATTAAAATGCTATCAAAATATTAACATAAAAACATAAATCATGTTCTTGAATAACCTCATTAGATATCTTCTCTCACGTGGATGTCATGCATGGCACCAAACTCGCTAAGAAATGCCTAAACGATCATCTATGTATAACCGTTCTCTCAGACCAATGATCAAAAATGGCTTCAAACAAATTAGTCATATAAATCTTAAAGGAAACCATACTCAGACTGTATAGGTTGTCGCTATAAAATCACAAAGAGCTTTACGAAATAACAAATACCACATCACTTTTCCACTTTCAATAGCAATGACAAAAGAATAGGTAACAAATATAAATAACAGTGAAAATAATGATATAATCACGCTGTTAATTCTCCACAATAACAAAAATAAAAAGTCTGAAATGAAAGTCCCATCAATATAAGAAAGAGATATAATATTTAGTATGCAAATTACAGATTAGGGCTACCGAAATCAAACAGGTGCAACGAGTCAGATATATGGGAAGCGTATTAACGGAGAACGGGAAGTGTGACACGGAAATCCGAAGCCGCAGTCAAGATAGCGAAAGATGCCTTCTAAAAGCTGAGCAAAATATTAAGAAACAAAAAAAATATTGTAAGAAACAAAAAAAACAGTACTGAACTATTATGTAGTATCAGTCCTCCTATATGGCAGTGAATTTTGAAGAATCTTCTCACAGATGAAGAAGAGACTTGAGGCAACAAAAATGTGGTCCTACAGTATGATGCTGAGAATACCGTAGACCCAACATGTGAAAAACGACGAAGTTCGAGAGACAATGGTGACAAAAAGAATGCTTATGCTTTACACCAGGAAGAGAAAATTGAAATTTTTGGGGCAACTGAAAAATTTGATACTCACAGGACAGAGTAAAGGTAAGAGGGCTAGAGAAAAGCAACGTACAATCTTACCTGGCAAGCTTTGAGTAAACTGATGACAGCAATGTTTGGAAGAGATAGCAAAAAGACACAATTTATTAAGAGGTATAAAAGACGAGAAATTGTAGAGAGCGATGACCGCCAACGTCCTGTAGGGACACGGCACATAGAAGAAGAAGAAGAAGAAGAAGAAGAAGAAGAAGAAGAAGAAGAAGAATGTATATTGAAAGTTTTCTTTTACGGAAACAGCTAATTTTAAAACAACCTTTGCATATAATAGTTGTTTTTCTACTTCTCTTGTATTAAGTGACCAAAATGTTCGTTCGAATTATTGAATAATAAGAATTATTGAAATTTATTTCACTGAACAATATTTTTATTCTTCTGTTCTATTATTTTCTATCATCATTCAAAATTCTACCCTTCCAGAACATTTTCTCAGTGGAATCTGTTATCCAGATTTTTTTCAATTAAAGAAAAAAGAAAAAAATTTTCTGAAGACCAAAACAAATAGTAATCCGAAGTATAGTATCTGTTAAATATAAAAGTTGCAATAATTTTTTGCTTACTCAACAAACACTCGGCTTAGCATTAATCAGATGGAATATGATCTTAACTATTTCCGGACGCTTTTCATCAATTGTTGCTTGCGATTTGTTTTTTTTGTTTTTTTTATTTATTTATTTTTTTGATTGATTCGTTTTCTATGGCTTATCAATACATCCCAGGTTATTTAAAGGTTATTTTCTTTCTTTTTTTTTTTTTTGAGAGATGATAATAGTTTAGCGATACAAGTCATGCTAATTAACCCATAGCTGGAGACAGAAGATGAGGAGCCATATACGCGCAAGTGAATATAAAGCGGCAAATTGGAATTTGAACTCGACTCGATTTTCAATTCTGAGCCATTATCCATTACACCAACCGCACATTCAAGCTTACAACACATGCTACTCCCATACGGTCATCCATATAGATACTGACTAGACTCGACGTTGTTTAAGTTCGGTGATCGTACGGGAACAGGTGTTTCAACATATTGTCGCCATAAGCCTTTGCTTTCAGTTGGTCTGAGGGCGACAAGGGATCCCTTTAAATCCTATCATATACGTTTTTGAATGATCACCAGACATTCAGGAATAGAAGAATATACGATAAAACTAATATGAAATCGTAAGAAAATATGACAAATAGAAAACTATAATATAAAAATAATATGTAACAATGTGAAATATTTGTACGACATTATTTCTCGGGTCGGATTAAGTTGAAGATAATAGGATTTTTCTTTAGCGCTAGCATTTCATACATTTCTGTTACATAGAACTTTAGATTAATCTGAGTCAGCTATGACATTTTTGTCGTTGCTTTGTGTGTTGTCTATGGCTTCTTTCGATCTATCGGCAATTCTTCCGGTCCCGGCGCTGCATCAGAGACTGAATGAATGGCGGGCAGTTTTCTTTACGTTTCTTTACACTGTTGGAAGACACAGTAGTTGTAGACTTGTTTCATGGCGGAAGCGAGAACGAGAGAGATATAGAGAGGACGGATCTCAACTGGTGAGCCAGTGACTTGCCATCACCGCGTGTTGGCTTGTCCCAATGTTCTGAAGTCAGGCACACCAAGGAACCTGGGAGCAGAGAGGAATCTTTACCCTTCTGTTACTGCCACCATATTGCCTTCCTGTGTTTTCGGTCTTGCATCAAAACTTTAAGCAAAGAAAATCCATCGCAGTCAGCATTACGCGACCATCGGCTTCAAACCACCCGCGACTCATTGAGTTATCAAAGTTGTAATCAATATGGTATGATTTGCCAGTTTATACATTCTGAATCAAATGTGGATTGTCCTGACGTTGGGATGATTAACCGTTCACCAAAATGGACTGTAACGTGATATCGGCAAGTTATCTTAAGCTATTTCTGTTATATTGTTACTTTTTTCAACGCTGGAACAAACTCTTCATTGGCCAATTTGTGTATAGTCATGCGAAAAGAATATGTCCTACTTAAACACGCAAATACTCTACAGTAATCTATCAAGACGCCTTAAATGTAATCTTTTTTTACGCCTTTCTTCTTCTGATTCACTTACTAGTGTCTCGCAACGTCTTCTGTCAAGCAAAGGAATCCAGAAATAATTTCCAGCTTTCAGATAACCGGAATATATATAAATGAATAAAAATCACACCAATTCTTGAGAGTGCCTTTCTCAAACTACAAACAGAAATAAATTAATATAGAAATCTTAAAATCTGCTTGTTAAAGGCCTTCGAGATATCTAGAGCCACAACTTGAGCTTCGCCGTTATTATCAATTATTTAGTAATTGGTGTAAGTACGTCAGGGGTAGACGTGGCAAAATGGAAGCCATATTGTTTGTCAGAGGGTATGTTCGTGAGAGGTAAGATACTTAAACACTTCAGCATTGATTAAAGCCTCGAATAGGTAAGAGGCTAATAGGGCGATAGTTAGGAGTAAAAAGGTTTTCCAGAGTTCTAAAAAACAGGAACTACAGAGGAGCGCTCTCAAAAAGCTGGGAAGCAGGAAGAAGCGAAGCAATAGTTGTAGAGTTTGGAGAGAACTGGAACCAGCTCGGGCCACGTTTTTTTTAGCATGAGAGCTGGGATCCCGTCACCTCCGCTTGTCTTATAGGAGTCTAATTTAGAAATGAGACTAGTGACGGGGTTATGCGCATATCACTCTGCCCCATTGGGTAAATCAGGTGTGGGTACTCCAAATGAATCGAGTGTTGAGTTGGAAAAGAATTTCCGAGCAAAGCATTCAAAGTTACTTGCTGTAGATGTCATGATTCGAATTGATTGAATAGAGAAGGGATTGAGGATTTGATGTTGTTCAGCACAGTCTTGCAGAACCGCCAATAATCTCTAAAACCTAACTTGCGAGATGCTATATGTTGTTTCATTATATCAGCAAAAAAGTAACTACATAACTTGGGTTTTCAAGACTCTCTCTTCCCCTTCTAAATTCATCTGGCCACTTTTCCACTCTTGATACAGCTGGAGCGCCAGCCCCTAATGTAGCAACCTTGTCAGAAAACAATTTTTTCTGAAGGGATTTGATATCACCACGATGGCAAATTTTGTCAAGAGAAGTCGCTATTAGTTACGTTTGAAATCTTCTTTGAGCAGTCAGATGTCAGTTTACCCAGACAGAAACAATACAGTTATTAATAAGAAGAGTTGAAATTAATACATACAAGATTTCATAGCTCTAGCACAGTGGTTCTCAACCGGGGTCTACATGGACCCTAGGGGTCCATGTAATATTTCCGGGGTCCACAGGCAAAACACAATTGTTGTGTTAATTAAAAATAGTAATAATAATTATTATTATAATTATAGTAGAATATTTTATTTGTATTAAATTAGTTTTCATTTAAAAATAAAGCTTAATCGTATACTATTTCTTTGATAATTAAAACCTTAAAATTTATATTAGTGAAGAATAGAAAATTGTTCTTATGTCCAATAGCTATGAAGGGGTCCACCAAGATAAAAAGAAGGGGAAAGGGGTCCATGGGTTAAAAAAGGTTGAGAACCACTGCTCTAGCATCACTCATTCATAGTCAGCCTATGGACATTTCAGCCGACCCTAAAATATACAACTACTCCTCATCAACTGGAAGAAATTATACACAGACTTGCAGAAATGATCAATACACCAGAAACTCAACACCGGTTAAAAATTAAAAAGAAAACCCTGAACGCACTATACAAAGGATCTATGACTCTCCCTAACAGAATGCAAAAATTTATTAATATTTCTAATTATGAACTGTCTAAGTATCAAAAACAATCGCTTAACTTGGGGCCCAGCTGCCATATATACCGTAGATATAATCGTCTGATTAAAAAATAAATAAATAAAATCTAGACGCTATTTCAAAACATCGAAAACTTCAGGACGAACAATTGATCACAACACCAGAATTTCGCGACTTACTCAAGGCTGAGGCAGAAGTAAAAGTTTTCAGAAATGTTAACAAAACTACAAATTGCCGCTAAGGAACTACGTAATCATCCAGATATAATCGTGAAAAAAGCAGATAAAACTATTTTCGCTGTATTAAACAAATGGGACTACAATACAGAACTGGAACAAATACTCAATGACGACACAAAAATGTTAAAAAAATTAACAGGAATACAACCAACCAACTAAAATTAAAAATTAACAAACTTATCATTGTTAATAATGCCGAACAGGACAGTTTAAAACTTCCTAAAATTGTTGGTGATTATAGGCCAGGTTACATATATGGTACTATAAAAACACATAAACAAAACTACCCTCTCTATCTTATACCGCAAATTCCCACTCCTGTGTATCAATTAACAAAAATCATCAACCAACTTATCTCACCATACATTCCAAGTAAATACAGCATAAAATCAACTCTTGAAGTAATTCATATTCTAAAAAATGAAAAACCATAGCCTCACTTGACGTCGAAAATTTATTTACTATTGTCCCAGTTAGCGAAACTACTAACAATATCCCATCTCTACTTCCACTTAAAATTAGGCCTTGTATATTATGGAAACTACTGCTAACTTACACTACCGAAGTCTCATGTTATGACCACAAAAAATAAATATATATATACGACGGGACGGTGTCTCCATGGATTCAGTTCAGGGTCCAACTTTTAGCAATTTCTATATGTCTGCTCTTGAAAATAATTTATTTAACAATTTAAAAAAAAAAACTCCATCTACCTAGGAGTGAGATAGAACAAATAATTATTTATTTCCAATATATTTTTGGAGTTACTTTTATCCACGGCATCAGCTTCAAAGAATTGCAAATTAACAGTCTACTAATTTTATGAGTTTTTTTTTTTTTTAATTCATTCAAACAGTTTAGCTTATCTAATCATCTCTACTGCAGTACCATTTAAAATTAGTTCTATCTTTGATTTACGCAGCTGGATAATTTAAAATACAATAACCGTAAGATCTTTCAAAATATAAATATGGATATAGACACCGTCTACTGCCGGCAGTATCAACACCAAATGAAAATGTCGTGACGTTCATTATTTCAGCTATCAAAATTTTTATTCAAAAGCCTCGCAGTAGTAACTTTAGCAGAGACAGTCTTTTATGGTCATCCTCTTGAAGTTTATAATCATTTCCTTTGTAATAAAAATATTTATATTGTTGTCACTTTCCAAAACTCAGCAACTGCTATGCTTTATGTTCTTGCTTTCTCAATTCAAGCGCGAATATTTCTATATGCAATGTTTTAATCTAGTATTCGAGATGCAAATAAAACGGTCATTCTTCAAGTTAGAACATTAGGCCATAAACTGAGAGGGATACGTTTAAGTCAACCAAAGAACGGGACAAAAGCAAGATTAAAGAGAGAGAAATGCTGGCTTTATTCATTTTTATTTAATCGAATTCGCCCCAAGCAAGGCAGTAAATTCACTAAAACACAAGGGTTTAGTGAGTGTGAAAGAATTAAGAACAGAAAACATTACTAAGGAGCGAAAACAAAACAAAAAAAATAATCAGAACATTTGATAGCGAATGGCATTGAAGATTAAAGTTGAATGGAAAGCATAGAACCGGAAAGGAATTCCACAAGTACAAGAAAACAAAACTGTTAGCATAAAATTTACGGTTACATCTAGCCTGCTCAATTGTAAATTGGTGAGATCACGACGCCAGTAATGTGATTATGTTCACAAAATATATAGCTTACCATAAAAGGATTTATAGAAAAGGTACAGGGAAGCAACCTCACGGTGGTGGGAAAGTAACTGAATCCGAGAGACCAGATCAGGACCAATAATATAGTTCATTCTTCTTTGGATATCATCAAAGAGCTCTAAATAAATAGCAGTAGTACCGGGCCATATGTGGCAATAATATTCTAAGTATAAACGAATGGTAGACTTATAGATATGTAAAATAGATTATGGGGAGAAAAATTGTCTCACACGACACAGTGAACCAACTTTTTTAGCACTTGACCGAGGAATGTATTCAATATAGTTTTTCCACTTC